TGTTTGCACCAAGTACTGAATGCGCGTCGAATCGTTCCGGCTATCACACCATCGCCATATGTATTTGTTCCTACATTTGTGAATCGAATCATGCTCGCGTTGACAGCTATCGTTGCTACGCTATCAGATGTTTTCGTTACGTCTGATGTCCTTCTTTTTTCAGCTACATATCGCATAAATCCACGTGTCTGTCTCAAATGTTACCTTTTCTCTTTTTTTTCAATTGATTTAATGTTTCTTCATTCGTTATTATTGTTCAATTTTCATATTATTGGAATATTTCGCTGAATGAAGTTCCATGATGTCGACATTTGTATCAATCGCAAGTGGATGCAAATGAAAAGATTATCTACAAATAAGTATGTAGTAGTCGAGATATAGAGATTGAAGGGTACAAGGATATAATTTGGTTGAAGATCATGAATTTTTTCATTGGAAACCTTTCTCTCATAGTTTAATAATACACAGGAATTTTGACGAAGTTTTCACCACGGACAAACTGAGAGTTATGTTAGAGAAGAAGTGATGTGATACGAGATACATTTTTCACTGCCTTTGTTATAAAAGCTCGTGGGTATTTTCCTGAGATATTATTGAATTTGTTGCATTTCAATCATCCTGGCTGTTATGTATTATGGTAGGAATGCCATATGCTTTTGCTTCACCTATTCACGAGGTATATTAAATTTCAAAAGTTGTTCCTACCTTGATTATTCTTGCAAATTTTACCGATTCAGACAATTGTTTTAATGTATTCATCTATCAAAGTTTAATTAATTTAAGTCATGCTACTTCCATCTCGCTTCCAGTTTGTTGAATGTGAAAACAAGGCCACTGTCTTGTTATAAAGTTATTCTTATTTTTATTGCTATTATTACAAATATTATCATCATCAACATCATTATCATCGACATGATCATCTTCATCATCATCATCATCATCATCATCATCATAATCGTAATCATCATAATCGTAATCATCATAATCATCGTCATTACTATTATCAACATTTCCTTTTTTCTTCCTGTAAATACCCTGTAGATTTTCATTAATTCGGAATACCATTTACCAACTACACTTCTTCATAATTCTGCAAAATTATGCAATGCAATATTTGCCATCATGTTTATTAATTATGTTACAATGCTATTATGATCTTATTCTGCACCCTTCTCTGCAAAACATTTGGTGCAATACTGCATAATTCATAGCTTAATGCTCTCTTGTCTTCATACTTAACATGCATATTACACGCAAGATATTTAATTTATTATAAATAATTTTCTTTTCCTCTCTTTAAAGGAAAGCTACTATGTGACGACGAATAACCCCCGTACTTCGAAATTAATTTTAAAAGTTGTGAGTAGTAGTGTGACACCTGAATACGGCAACTCGTATACGAATCTCGAATACAGGCAGCAATGTTGTCCCAACATTTGGGTGTTTATGAACAACAGTTGGGTCATAATTGTCCTATATAACGCAGGAATCTGAATACGACAGAAATGTGGCACACAAGGAACTTGTAAAGAAAAAGAAAAGAAGGATAAAAGACACAAGAATCATCACATCGACAAAAGAAAGGTGGGACTTTCAGTTTACAGATCATAGTATCGGGAGCTAGCGTAATTCCAAGAACTGATTAAAGACCTATAAGTCTCGTTGGTGCAGCTTATAGCTAAATTGAACTACGGTACAGGAACATTAGCAGGATTCTGAGAAGATAGGAGGAATATATCGATACTAAAGAAATCTTTGTACGGTGCCTCTGGTTCTTACGCCCCAAGTTACGATTCTACATTCGCTAATCTGACGAATGAGAGAACAGACTTAATGTATCAAACATACGGTGATGAAATTGCTGTACAATACGCAGATTTCATATTAGACTTTGCTAAAGATTGTGATGATATATTAACTGTGTTCCATGATCCGTTGGTCATTCTGACAGGAGGAGATTATAGAAAGACAAAGAAATTCCTCGAAGGAAATCGTAGACTCAAAGAGGAAGAAGAGAAGGATAAGCATTTATTAGAGAAACATATGCAATATATTAATCGCAATATTTCAGGATTGTGTAAAAGTTTTATCGATTAATTGAGAACGCTATCAGAATTAAGAAGTGTTGTTCTTTCTTTGAAAATATGGGTAATTATGTTCAAAAAATTGAAGTATCTGTAAGTAACAGCAGTCTTTTTTTTAGCATTACCTTTCCTCTCTTACATTACTTACATTTACATTACCTTTTCTCTTTTCCTGAAGAGGAATTGAAGATGAACGAGGAACGCCCAGCTTTACAGATTGTCGATTGGACGACACGTCGCTAGAGTTAGGAAGTTTAAAGCAAGTGCTGCAGGAACGGCACTTTGCCCCACCGCTTGCTCACTTGTCCAATGCTCCTAAACCATCGGAGGCGGAGGCTGAGTGGTCAACCCGGACAAAATTACGGAGATCTATTTCAACAGAGATAGAGAAGACGCTTCTTCCTTCAGCTACTGCTTCTGTTGATGGTTTGCGAAGCGCTATGGGAATAACATCAGTTGGTGGACCAGTGCCAATAGAAGTGGAAACAATCCAACTATCATCGCGGAAAATAATTTCTTGTCGTAAATCAACGGCAATCAAGTTCCGTCGCACCTGTTGCCGGATCAGTCACCAATTCAAAATACCAGTTGCTCAGTCCAACCGGTCAACAAAATCGACCGATCAATATTGTGAATACGAATCAACCACCTATTCAAGTGCAAATCAGCATGACGCACAGTCAAACACCTCCGTCTTTACTGAGCATATCAGAAACGTCTGCGATTCCAGATTTAGAATCAGATCTCAGAGAATTTCTAGAAAATGATCCTACATGATGACATTCACCACAGCGCTATGACAAAACATTGGAGGACATTTTATACGTGTTTTAGTGAATATGGTTCTCGAGATATATGATTTTTATGAAAATTTACCTGTAATATTGTACATTTTATTAAATATATGCAATGCCAAGCGTACGGCTAATAAA